TTTATTTATTTATTAAGATTACATGATGTTCTGTTTATAAATATATTTTCTAAAATATCGTGTTTTGCGTTAACAGAAAATTTTTTGTATCTGCTTTCTATATAATTATTGTCTAATTCTGCAACATCCAGTCTCAATTAATTACGCGTGTTTGCATGGAGCTACGGTTTTCTCCCTCGGTGCAAACGATTGCTAATCGCTCCCTTTCAAACGTTCATTACGTTATGAGGGGTGCGTCGCGTCGTCCCCAAAATTTTCGCGTTTCAACACTGATTACAGCACTCATTATTCACCGGTTAAGCGATCGTGGAAACAAGTGGGTAGGACTGGTTAGTTCGGTTGGCCGATTCGATGACGGAACAAAGGCCGGCAAAAAGGGAACAAAACGCAGGGGTTTCGCGAAGGGTCGCCGAGCAGAGCAGCGGGTGGATGCCGGAGGGTAACGCGAGGGTAATGCGAGAAACGAGGAGAGGCAAAGACCGCAGTGATGGTGTTGCGGGTTGAAAAGAGTCGGACGATTCCGCAATCGTTTGGACCGCTTCCAACTTGGCTTTTTACGAGCCGGACGCCATGCGATGCACCGGCAAAACACCGTGATGTACATACCGGAGAAATGCCCGGATAGAGAATACGGTACTTGCGTTCTCGCGTATCTTTACGTTGCGTGTCTATGCTTACAATTGCGGAATGCGACGATAAAGAAAGAGAGATCTGGGGCGATGGTGATTTCAAACACTATCCGCCGTATCTGTTTGTAAAAGAAAAGAGAGTCTTTGATTTCTCAGAGGATTTAGAAGTCTCATGTCACCCTATAAATAATGCGAAAGTTTCCAAAGTTCGCGCACTAAGATTTTATTTGCACCACTCTAAAACTTTTATAGAGAATGTCGAAAATGTAAAATGCATTGAATAATTCAATAGGTAACGTTCTTTTTTTATTTTTAAGATAATAGTGCAAGTATAAGGTACGATATTTTCGGAGCAAATTATCGCCTTACCTACAGAACGACTTGGTATCTTTCAAATAAGTGCTTATCTCTTATAGTAAAAGCATCGTACACGATGTCGATGAACTTACTCGGTCTATTCAATATTTAAAAACTGAACTTAAAATACATGCACATAGATATCTCTCTCAGACGTTGCTCTCAGCTTGCTTTTATCTATGAATATTTTGATCCAGAAAAGAAAAAGTCGATATTGCGCTAAAATAGAATTTCGTGGCTCTTTTTAGAAAAAATTCGTTAACTATTTTAAAAGAAAATCGTTAATTATTTATCTAATAAATTAGATTAGAGAAGTTTTTTTTTAAAGAAGTAACTCAATTTTCTTTTTTTATCTATGTATCGAGATTTTTATTATGATATAAGAGACGGACTATTCTTCGCCCTTTCTTACATCACACAAATAACACAATAAAAAAGTAACTATTTATATAATTGTAGATTATCGTTTTTAGAAAAGTGACTCAATTTTCTTTTTTTATCTGTGTATTGAGATTTCTATCATGATATAAGGGAAGACGGACCTCTTCTTCGTCCTCTCTTACATAACACAGATAAAAAAACGGTGACGAAATAATGAAGTTATGAAAGTATTCGAAACAATACAATGAAGAAGCAAGTTTGTAGCAATATACGTCTGTTATATTAACATTATTCGAAAAGAAATCCAAGGAAAAGGTGAGAAGACGACAGAGCTACTCGAAATAAGACGGAAAGATATTACTGTTATTCGATTCCATCAAAATTTACTGTGCCATCGCCTTTTATCTTCGGCAAATATTGTCTCGCATCTATTTAATTCAACATTTCAAAATTTTATTTGCCACGCATCTCGACATTTCACGAATTTCTTGTCGATATTACCTAAATTACGCGGTGATTTCGCGCAGAGATTTGCCAGCCTACGCGGGATGTCGAGTTTGCGGCTTAGCGGTTGCGGCGCGTTGTCGTTTAAACGGTAAAATATGACTCTCTCGGCAGTGGAATAAGCATTATTCATCACGGCCGGAAGTTTGATGTTTCGGTTTAAAGATGGACGAGCGTATAAGTGGCGAAATTCTCGCCACCGACCTGCCCTTTCTCTCTCCCGGCATCGAGATAAATTACTCTCGCGGCAGTTGGTGGAAATACGAGAGGAGAGCCCCGACTTTCGCGCGGCGAAAGGGGGAAGAGGGTCAGCCGATAAATTCAGATGAAAGTACGAGCAATTTTCTTCTTGTTAACACACGCCGCGGTTCCACGGGCGTCTGTGTCCATGGAAAAGAACTTCGTTAAACCCGCGCGCTCTCTATTCGTTCTAAACGCTACCCGGAGTTAGATTAGTTAACTTGGGGATTTAGCGGATTAGCCCGATCGCGGGACGATAAGTCACTTCGGAAAGTAGAGGCCGCGACATGGCCATCCCTATAATTAGGTCTGTCCTAAAGCGAAACTTTGCTCGCTACGCTTTCAGGGGAACGATGGACGCCTCCAGCTGTTCCAGCCGTAGATTCCGGCCTGCGATGGCTCGTTTGTCACTCTTAATGCCGTCGAGCGGCCGGCTAAGAAGTACGCAGTCGGAGGCAATCTCCGGTTAATGAGCCTTCTACATGTAAACGAATATGCGCTCTAACTATCAGCACCGGCATTATGACCGGATTATATGTGGCCGCGCTCGTTTAAAGCTAGACCGTCGTTGGAGAAATTGATCGGGGATGTATTAAGCGAGTTTAGAATAACAGAATGGGCACCATCACATTTCAAAAGAGATCAAACAAAATTTAATGAGTTTAATTAGATTCGAGTTCTCAGATGTTAGAAATAAATTTTATATTAATTTTGATAACAATATCTTTCAACAAATAATTTTGAAAGATTCGAAAATTTGTAATCGAAATTATACAATGGTAAATTCTCACCTGGTAACGTTAATCTGATCGATAATTTCGACGGTACCAAGCTGCCGGTATCCGGCGAACAGCATATCGTTGCCCATTAATCCAGAGCCGCGGCCGTCGATGGCAGCATATATAATGCTTTTGTTTGTTACAAGATACATGCCCCAGTCCATGTTAAACTTCTCCGTCACCTGATACGAGTCTGGTCCACCGTACCTGGAAAGACGAGAATAGATTGTGAGACACAAATTGATCATAAGCGTTACATTATTGTCGCGCCAGTTATTTCAATGACAAATGTTGCGCATATATTTATTTGAACATTTAATAAATTTAATTCCTTTAATATTTAGACGAATTAAAATTCAAAAAAAGAATTACTAGAAATCTTGACCGTTATTACCGAATTGTCGTGTATTGTTGAGTATCATGCTGGATCGTTATGTTCAATTTTTTGGATAATTTTTTGTATTTTCTTAAATAAAAAAAGAATAATGTATGTAATCTTCTTACATAATAGTCATAAAAAATTTTATTCTAAATTTAAAAAATATTAAAGAGCAAGCTGTGATGCATTCGCGACATTTGCTTATTGTTAGCTAAAAAAAAAAAAATCAGTCTTTCTCTTAATTAACAATCCAATCATTGCAACAGATTTGGCGATTGTAGCCGACTACTTTCTCGATTGTTTAGCGGGCAATTCCCTCGGCTTTCACGCTCATTATGGCTCTCGACGGTCGTTTGCGGGAAATCTCGAGTGCCACTTGAGGGATTCCTTAGGAAAAGGCTCGAGAGCACGAGAAAATGCACGGAGGAAGCGAGAAAGGAGTCGAAGACGATGGCGAGAATTAGGAAATGGAAGTTCGCTCGGAGGAAGATGGCTTTTCTGATACCGCATCTTTCGTATAGGGTAGTCGACAGTAACGCGGAAATGGAGACGGATAGTAACGATCCCGTGGATGGTGTGATATAAGCGAATGTGTGCCTGAATATGACGGCGATACGACGGCATGGCAATATCATGAAACATCATGGTGCTTTCGAAGCGAAATGGATCGTACGATGACAACCGATGATCCGCTCTCTATCGGATACCGGCTCATGGAGGAGAGTGATAAACGTAAGATAAAAATATAAGGATGCTGAAGAAAAAAAAAAAAGAGAAATAGAATTTAGATCATCTGTCTTGTTCGTTGGAAAAAATATGCGTGTGTACTTTTTTAATTAGTTTAATTCATTTCCGTGATACATGTCGTTCTACGTTCTTTTTGATCCGCTCTTTATCGGATACCGGCTCATGGATGGAACGTGATAAACATAAGACATAAAGATAAGGATGCTGAAGAAAAAAGAGATTTTGGATCATCTGTCTTGTCCGTTGCGTGTATACTTTTTTAATTAGTTTAATTCATTTCCGTGATACATGTCGTTCTTTTATTTTCCTGTATTTTTTAACGAATCATGATAGAAAATTTTCTGTCAATATTATAATATTTCAGATTAAAATGTGCGTTTAATTTCGCGATGCTCTACATAATAACATCTTTAATTCAAGATAGAATCACCATATTTTGTTCAAATCCAAAAATCATGCATTATTCCTTCCATTATCAATCCGTGTAAATTAGAAAGATAAATATTGTTGATTTAAAAAAGTATCAATTTAAATAATGTTTAAGAGACTTATAATCATATAATAAAGCGAATTGAATAAAAAGGAGGATGTGATAAAGACTGCATTGCAGATAAAAACGCGATACATCGAATAGTGCTTTTTAAGATTGTATTGATGTTGTTTTATTCCAACGACGGAGATGGCTATTGCGAGCTTACATGGAAAACTCATTAGGAGTGCAAAAACACGCGAAAATGAAGTGCTAATGCCACTAACTTATGCATTCAAATCTTAATACGTTCGCTATTATCGTATATTTTAAAAGGAGAAAAAGAAAGCAGAAGAGCAAAAAGGTAACATTTTTTTATGCAGTTTAATATAGGATATTATTCTTTGATTATATGCCAGTTTTAAAATAATACAAATTTATTGATTGGCTTTCCGCGATCGAAAAAATTCATTTTTCTGACGTGGCAACTTTAATATTTCGAGAAATTATATATTCAAAATATAAAGCAATATTTTTTAGGGAAGAAATATTTATTTAACATTTTTGCGATGGGCTTGATGTTTCATTTTCTGTTCCGACAACGCCGATTTATATAATACGAACAACACTGTGGGCATCGCGATCGATAATCTAGACATAGGAAATTTCATCAGACGTGGGAAACTAGAGAGAAAACAAGCGATCGTCCGAATACCTGTGATATGTGAAAAGTCGGCACGATCCAATATACCGTTTCGAACACGAAGACAGTACAATTACTCGACTATAAAGCGAACGGGAACTCAAACTTCTCTTTATTCGCCATCGTCAAGCGAACGAGACGCGTTCACCGTGGCAATAGTTCCTCTATGAGAGTCTAGCTTTTAGTTACGTCGCCTTTCCCTCCGCATCATTCTGCATTTTCGTAGTCGGTAAAAGTCTGAATCTAATACGGGTAGTGTGACATAGCATTTGCAATGTATGTAAATTATCCATGAATTGTCACGCATACGAAGAATCTATTTAAAATATAAAGATGTTTCGTTTTCTATTTATCGTTTTCATATAAGAAAATTATTATTGAACATAACATTTATAAAATAATCTTCAAAAATTAAGCAACGATATTTTTAAAGCTCTCTTTTAGAATTTTGTCTTTTAATAAGAAACAGGATGGCAATTAATATAAATTGGTCGGACGCTTGATAAATTTTTCCAAAATAAATTACAATTGTCTAGAAAATATTACGTTGTGAAATAGTATAAGATCTTTTAAGATTTTCCAAAATTGAATATATTTTCGCGGATGCATATATATATATTAAATTAAATTTTGATTATTTTAAACATATTTTTCATTGCCACCTTTTTCTTCTGATCGTTAATGCATAACGCGAACCTTGCGAAGATCCGTAATCTATAAAATCGTTCACTTTAGAACTGACATCGAGGCACGCACAACTTCTACCATAAACTCTTTTGTACTTTCAAAAGTTCGAACTCTGCTAGGACCCGCCTACAAATTAGGTGTTATTAGGATTTATACCGAAAAGCTATATGGACTTCTCCAGAGTGTGTCGTACGTGTTAAAAGCGCACATGTGGTTTTTCTAAACGCAAGAAACGCATAAAGTTCTCACGATAATGACTAATGAATGTCGAATAATTTTTTTCGATGGAAAAAAAATGCATTACTATATTTTTCATTAATATGATTATAAGGACGAGTAGCAGTCAGAATCGATAACGTTCGGCTTTTATCGGGGAAGCCGCTCAAGTTTTCGTTCGTGAGACTGAATACGGAATGACTCATCGCTTCGCGGTTTTACATCCTGTCCTAATTCAGGCCACGTAAAGGAGAGCTTCGTTTTCACGTCACGGTACAGATTGCGTTCCGTTGCTGCACGTTCGTCACTGCTCTCCATTACGCTTATCTCGCGGGTGCATTATGACGGAACCGATTGATGATGCCCGCGGAGTGCGTTGTCACATTTCTTGTCGACCCCGCGAAAAATATGGATGCTTTTAAGTGAACGCCGAGAGACGCGCGACGCCGAAAAGCGATTTAATGTAAGAACTTGGCTGGTGGTTAGAAAGTACCATTGTGTGCCGAGCGTGACAATTTGCCAGAATACACGTGTCTTTGATGTATTTTATTGAATTGAATTTTATCGGTCACGAGGTCTAACAATTAAGAGTATCCCTCCGCTCTATATCTTAAAAAGTTTAATCCCACGAAATCGTAAAGTATACACATAATCTTAAAATGTTTATCTTAATTTTAGCAGAGAAATTAAATGGATTATAATTTATATAATTATATATATTCAAAAATTTATATATATAATTATATTTATATTTATATATATATAAGTATTAATTATAATTAATATTCAGATAAACGCCTGAATATTATTTGCAAATTTTAATTCTTGAGTGAGATACAAGTAATGCGTTACTTTTGTGTACCTTTATCAGAGAGAGACTTGTTCATTGGAAAAACTAAAGAACTTACACGTAAACCAGCATGGGATACTTGGTGGAACCGCTCAAATCAGCACCGGGTGGTATCAGGAGTCTCACTTGGGCATTAAAGCCACCAGGAACTGGAATTTTGTATTTTTGGACGATTGGCTGCGATCTTTCGACTATTATCTCAGTTACCGCGTTGTTGTCCTCCCATACGAAGAGTAACGTGGAATTCTGAAAACGAAAAGGTGCTCGTTCAATGTATGCACAAGATAGCTTTAAATAGTATCGTAAAATGCACAATTTATAAAAATTATTTTATGCTTGTGGATAATATATATGTATATGTATATATAAAATGTATACATATGTTATATATCTATATGTGGATAAATTAATCACGTTTATCTTATAATAGCACTCTGTCTATCTTCTTAACGATCGATTTTCCTTTCATCTTTATCCTCCCCCTCGGACCAATCAATTGCCGGTTGCTTCCTAATTCTGACGCCGCCATAACCATAATAGATTACACCGAAGGCGGAGAATAACACACCGTCAACACACAAAGACATCGCAAACTTACGGCGAAGTCGTAAGACTAGAAGAACGTTTTGCTGATCGGAATCGATTCGGTTCAAAGGGCAACCACTTTTGTAAGTAGTTGTCCAAAGTTCCTTTTTTTTTTTTCAGCGGATCGCGAGAGGGAAAGAAGCTTCGCGGTACACCCTGGCAAAAAAATTGCATTAGAAGACCGAGCCAATGCTCGGCAAAGGGCGTCGCTGAAGTTTCCGGTTTCCGTTTTTGCGCCCAAGTTTACTCGCGCGAATTCTATGGCCGTCTCTCCCTCCCTTTTCTCTCTCGGGGAAGGGGGATATATCGGGGCAAATGTAGCGCGCAATCTACGCGCTTTTGTGCGTCCGGGCACTCGACGGGAGAGTTCGCTCGATTCGATGGTGAATCTCGATTTTGCATCGCGGCGAACTTTTTCTCACGCGAATCCGCATTTGCCGAAGTTTCTTCGTTGAATGACAGGCGATCCGCGAGGTTTCCGGCTTTTGTGGGAGAGGGAATCTCGATCGCGATATGACGCGGCGATATCGATTTTCGATTGAGACGGGAATATATTTTTCTTTTCTTTTTTCTCGCGATTTTTTTGCCGCCACAATAGGATGGCTGCAAGTGGGTTTGCGCGCGTGTTTCGCGTGCAGTGTAAATTGATAAAATTTTAGAGAAAAGCTAAGAAACAACAAAGCATTCCTGTGCTTTCACGCGCGTAAATTTCACGCTATTTTCTCTGGAAGACATGAAAAGACATGAGAAGACATTTTTCTTAAATATTATCAAATAGAAAAAATATACTTTTCAATTATTAAAAAAAAATATTCTAAAATATTTTACAGTTAAATTTTAATTAAAGCGATATTTAATTTAACTTCTCAAGACATTTAATAATGAATATTAAAAGCTTACGAAGACAAAAACAGAATTCAACCACATTTTCCTGTAATCTCTTGTGTATTAAATTAATTTGCCTATTTCTGAATGCCTGGAGAACGCTTTATATTTTTTCTTTTCCTACAGGAAATATGAGGTAGAAATTCAAATAATAATATGTAACCACTATCTATTGCCAATTATAAAAAGTAAGTCACAATTTAAAACCGTGAAATGATTACGACTTCGAGCTGTTGTTATTAATTAAAGTTAAGAGATTTAAAAAAATCCATTTTAAATTATAATTTCGCTATGTTCAATAAATACACGAATTTGTAACCACGCGATAACAGGAGAATCGTTTTGACACAACGGTAAATAATGAAGTAGATAGTAGAATATCGGAAAATTAAATACATGATCAATTAGTATCACTTTGAGCCTTTTGTAAATTTCGATAATGTCGATATCATAATATCGACATAATTAGATCGGAATGCAAAAGTACACCATAAATCATATCAAGGTACAGCGAAGATGGGCAAAGGGATTCCAGAGAGGATTTTGCACGTGTTTGCGAGCTTCGTGCATGCACGTGCAATATCCACGTGAAACAAATTACTCTATTAGTTCCAGCACAAATTGGATTAAAAATATGCACCGCGCATCATATAGTCTTATAGCGCTCTTTTATAGAAAATTCAAAATTTCAATGAACATGAATGGTATTTTGCACAGTTTGTTACAACCATAAAGTAGATAAATTATATAAATCTAATATGATAAAAGTTTATCATTTCATTAAAATAACAAAGATTGCAAATGTAATAAAAAATGTTAGTAAAAAGTTTATTATTATATTCTTAAGAGTATATAATTGATAAGACTTCAAATACTATCGGTTGAGTAGTATATAAGAGTTGAGAAAACGTTCCTCTTGTGCCCATTATCCTTTAAATGCATTTATAGATTTTTTATAATTAGCCGATGTAAACCTTACACAAAGCAAGAAAGAGAAATATAGGAATTAATCCGCGTTAATTGAAAACGGGGGGGCAGATCGATTTGCACGGTATAAAAACGCGAATTTTATCGGCAAGGTCGCTCTTTAACGTAATTGGATTAATGTTGATTGTCGACGGTTTCCTGGGCGAGAAGACCAATTATCAGCATTAAGCGGTTGCGCGAAAATAAGGGATAAAGGCGCCGGATAGTCAGATTTTCGCTAACAAGTTCGCTTTCTCCGATCGTGATAAAGCACGTAGATTCGTATCCGACATCCTTACGTTAATCGTCCTCGAAGTTCAATGACTTCCACTTTTCCTTCGCGTCCGCGTCTGTCGCTACGATAATCAGATTACAAGGGAATCACCCGATGCATATCGAACGTATTTTATTTCTTCTTTGGTGAATCGAGAGATTTCAAAGACATTTTTAAGCGCAATGTAATTTAAAGGTCCAATATTACTCTCTTTCTCTACATATTTTCGAATGTAATTTATAGTTCATTAAAAATCAAAATAGATGGAAAATAAAATTATTTTCTTAATGTAGCGTTGAACCTATTGTAGTCTACATATTATAGAAGAGAAAATGCATTATTCTTATTCTTATTTTGGTAGATTCAACCATCGTGAATATTTTAAAGTTTATTAATTATTAAATTGAAATGAATTAATAATTAGTTTATTAATTATTAAACTTTGGGCTCTCTCTTAATATACGAATAATCTGCCATTATGTTGTCTGCACTTCTCGCACAATTTGTGACGCTTCGATCCGTCTATCATTACATAAAGTCGACGAAGGAGTTTGATTATCGAAAGTAATGAAACTTTCATCCGACCGCGAATTTTTTCTCCGAGAACGGCGGATGCGCGATTAGATTGGCGAATAAGCAAATGGACGGATAGATTATAGATAGACTGTGGGAAGAGGAAAAAGAGAAGTCGGTTCGAAAAGAGAGAGGAGTTTCCTCTTGAATATATTTAAATCCTTAAGTTATTTTGGATCGATTCATGAGAAAGATATGAGAGCAATATAGTAAAGATACGGTTGTTTATCTTTGAGATGGGAATTTATAATTATAATTTCGTTTGGCTGTGTGTGCTTAATTTAAATAAATGTTAAATGTTCTCTTTGAACATTTAAAAAAATTGTTTTTTTTTTTATTTATTACTATATGCATAATTGTAGTCGATACATGTATGCGTGTGTTTTTACTAAACTCGTATTCTTTTACTAAATATTTAAAATAAATATTAAATATCTCCATTTGTAAAAAATTGTTTGTGGATACTTCAAACAAAAAAATGTTATAAAAAGTACCTAGAATTTTCGTGGCACGTTATATCGAAAATGGTTGAATAGACAAGAAAACGAGATGCGCGTAATATTTTATAAGATAACAACTCGCGCATATTCAAAACATTGCTGTAATACACACGCTAATATACTCGCTGCTGAATACGCTCTTGTCGGAGTTCATATTCAGAGGCCAGTAATTAGAGCTTGTAATAAGGGAATGAGGTATGTACGTTTATATGCGTTTGCCTCAATACGAGTTAATGAAGTTTTATGTTTATATATTTGAATAACGGTAGGCTTCAATTCAGTTCGTCGTTTCGGTTCAATTTGTCATTAATGGGTGAATTAAACTTGCTAATCATAATTTATTACAACCTATACTTCATTTATCTACATCATCTACATCAAGTGTTATGATTTGGAAATAAACGGAGAATCGATTAAATAATGCAATTAAAGTCATGTGTAATACGAAGTTATTAGGATTATATGCGAAAAACTATATACTATAAATTTTTCAATATTACAACACATACCTCGTCAATTACACGAATATGAATATGAATAAGTACACAGTATTACTTAATTTTCTACGACTTATTTTTTTTCTTCTCGATACTTGTTAATGCTTTCATAAATGTTTCTTAATCCTCGTTGAATTATGCATTATGAGGAATATATTTGTTAGTTTTGGATAGAAGTATTGTGTGTATTTCACAATAAACATGCACGATTTTTTTTTATTACTATGCTTTCAATAAGAGCTGATATCGATAAAGTTGCTGTAGAAACCATCTCGATGTAAATGCATTCTGAGTGGATGGCAAATGAAATCGTTATAACAGTGCTTCTCTATGAGTTATGAATATAACATTTATGGACCCAGTTGTAAGATAATAAAAATATGTATTTTTATATCAGAATATCTACCCTCATATCAAAAGAATTTCGCGCCATCGCGTGTCCAAAAATAATCTTCTATAATTTTAATTTTAATAAATCGTTCAAATAATATGAAAAATAAATGCTTTTCTCTCGAAGAAAACTGCAAAGAAAACCATGCTTATCTTAATTAAGCTAATATCTTAACTCATTAAAATTCTGTGATTGTAATTTTGATAAAGTTAAGTTCATTTAGAGATCAATAATAATAAATAAATTTTAAATAAACGACGTGAGCTACTTTATTATTCGCGTAAACTTTAAAATAATAAACAAAATCTTTTTTTTTATATGACGCGTGTAACGAATTGTATTTCACCCTCTGCTATATTTTTGTTCATTATATAAGTTATTAAATTTATACGCACAATGTGATTCTGAATCGTCGATATCTGTTATCGTTCGCTGCTTGATTGCACTATATTTCTTTCAATGTGTTTTATTTACATAACAAAATTAGAAATTGATCCAAAACGTGACCGAGTTGAGAAACAAGCACGCGATCAGATAGTGACCATTTGTAATAAATTTATAATAAAGACAAAATT